ACATATACATATACATATATATATATATATATATATCATAATAATTACATTTATTATACCATTTAAATAATTATAATTATAATCTATGTAGATAAAATATAAAATAAACGCGCATATCTTTGTCGGAGTAATTCCATCATCTCTTGATCTCGATTTGAATCCCGCAAGCGCAACGGACAAATAAGTTTTTTTTTAACTTTTTAATGGGCTGTCGAGCAGCTTGGAATTTGAGACGTGGGTTCGGCCCTCCGAATTGGAAACGCGGGCCGAAGGCTGGCCGGCAGATGGGAAACGGCGACAGTTGGGAAGGCAGATTTCAGGATTTTTTTTTTGTAATTGCTGGACGAAAAGTAGAATATTGTTTGAGAATATGAAACATTTGTATTCAAATAAATTTCAAAAAAAATATATTATGAATATCAAATTCTAATCTGATTATTTATTTACTTATTTATTTATTTGGAATAAGAAAGTTGAAAATCCATAAGGCGAAATCCGGAACGCTATAAGACGGAAATCGGGACGAACATGTTGGAAGGCGGAAAGACAAGAGAATTACTGCAGATTTTATCCCTTTTTTATTACTTTTTGTCATCAATATGAGAAATTTTTAAGCCAATAAATAGGCAAGAGAGATGAGAAGTTATATACTTAAAGATATACATGACCAAAAATGACTTTAATGTTGAAAATAGTGAGGTTGTTAATAACAAGTTGAGAGACAATCTCAGTAGCAATTTTAATAAATCTATAGCATTCTTAGAGGAATTGAGATAAGTTTATTACTTGTTAGTTTAAGATAAGATTACAATATCACTAATTGAAATGATTATCTAAAGACCCCAAAAGATAAGATCTATCTCATCTTACTGAGGTCAAAAAAGCACAATAGAAAGATTTCTCAACACATGAATATACCCTTAAAAACCATCTCTCATTTCTTGGGCATAGCTTCACATTTCTTTGTTGAAAATGAGCATACCATTTCCTAATCAATTATGCAGTTAATAAGGAAAGTTACTTAGGAGGGTTATTGCGTAGTAGAGAAATCTTTCCAGTTAAGCATCTTATTTGGAGGTTCAACAAAGTGAGCGGGCAATGGTGAGTGCTACATATGTAAATACATACGAATTCTGTGGCACATATGTAAATCTTCCCAATGTTGTTGATGCATGCTAAGAAGTCAGAATATTACGCAGCCAGCCACGCGCACACGTGCCGTAATCACGTGATATAGGTCCGCAAGCTTCGGGAGCACATGAAGCAAGCACGTGCGGATGGCTAAATTAACGCTAACCACCGACCAACCCTTTTAACTTTTGCACGAGCCCGGCAACCATCAATCACATGCCACCTTTCCCCGTAGACCTATCAAACATTATCCATTTACCCATTTATAATAATAATAATAATAATATACATACCACCCAATTCCTATATATTTACATACCTACCATATCTATATTTAATTTTTTATATTTCTGCCAAACAAATATCACTATTTTAACTTTCAAAATGAAATAAGATGTCTTTATGTTTAAGTAGCGTGGTATTTATGTAAAAATTTAAAGGTATAATGACATTATTCATATTAATAATAAGAAAATGAGAAGATGATAATTTTTTTTTAATAAATAATATATATAATTTTGAAAATAGATATTATAATATAAAATGCACCAAGATATACACATAATTTCATCAAATTAAATAGTCAAACCTCTTTAAATACTTGAACAAAATAATTAAAAAAAAATCAAATAATTCATGGCTCCGGTGGTGCCAAGAGCACTACTTGTCAATTGGCTCGCACGTGTACAGTGTACTAAAATAGTTAGAACTCCGTAAGAAATTGAAGCTGGTAGCTATGCGTCCAAGCCAAGCAAAGCACCACTGCCCACCTTCGCTTTCAGAGCCTTTTTTTTTTTTTTTTGCTCCCCCCCTCTGCTTTTAGAGCCTTTTTTTTTTTTTTTTTTGCCTTCAAAAATTCAATTAAAAAGGTTAAAAATATAAAATCCAGCAAAGAGTAGAGTTTAAGAAAATAATTTAAAATAATTATTTTTAAAATTTTTAATTATCTTCTAACGAACAAATTTGACTTTTATATGATAAAATTTCGTTGGGTTATATTTTTTTTTATTAGTTGTTTTATTTTTTGGAAGATTTACATATATACCATGCAATTCTATGTAATTTCATATCTAACAAATAAAAATTTCAATTTTTACGTTCGTACTAGCTTACTTATACACGAAAAAGGTGTATTTTACTTTTTTAAAGATAAAATGATATTATTTTAATGTATTACGTCCGACATCCATATATCCAGACGACGACGTGAATAGCACGACATCATCATGCAACGATTCATCTCTTGGTCTGAACACAACATTTTTCTTATCAACCTGTCTTTTTCTAACATAATAGGTGAGATCACACCAAATATTTTTTAATTATAAAATAAAAAATTAATAAAGTTTTAGAAATGTCCGTTGCATTTTAAGAAAAATAAAATTAAACATTCCCACCATAATTATGAATTAATATTTAAAATTTATCGCCATTTATTAGACGATTGAAAACTCCCAATAAAATAATATTAAAAACCAATTAAAAAAAATTCCGTTTGACTAATAAATATAAATCAAAATTCGAGGTTCGTTATTTAAAATAAACAACTCATATTCCGGAAACACGTCGCATAAATATCGCAATCCCTGACACGTGCGGCGTTGAATTGCTCGAGCAATCTAAGCCGTCCGATGTCATCAGTTTCGTAAAATCAGCGGACTGGATGTGGATAGCTAGAAGAAAACCCGGTAGCCCTTAACTGATATACATATACGTTGAAATTGAGGGAATTTATATTTACAGCTGAGTTGGCGGCATTCAGCATTTTAGTCACATAACTTTTATATATTTACACATTTACAATTATATATATATATGTTGAAA